TAGAATCCAGTGTTAACAACCGACTGCTGACTTATATATCGAATGATTTCTCCCAGCATAAACCCATCAGTCCACCTTATCTCATGTATGGGGGACTTCTGACACCTGACCCCTCATGGACGAAGAACCTTAGAGATCTTTCTTGCATCAGTGAGAATGACTTGGTTTGGAGATATAAACATCTTTCCCAAGTCAAGTCAGTGGAATGACGTTTAGATTAGGCAATATACAATATATCTGCATGAATACACAATGGGGGGGCCCATTTCCCCAATAACAAAATTAACATACAATATGGGGATATTGTCCTAGTGAACAGCAATGCCCCACGCTCAGAGTGGCCCATAGGCCATGTTGTTTCTGCTCACGCATACAGCCAGGGAGTACTGAGGATAGTCAAGATACAGTGTAAAGGTTTCACTACCCTCAAAACATAGATTAACTAGTGCACAGAGTCCGGGGGGAAGGAAAGCTAAAAGAGACCACCAAAACCTACGACTCTAATATGGGACATCCGCCCAGTTTGCACTAACGCACAATGGTGCAAACGAAAATCAATACTTCATTTTGCTCCAAATTCAGTAGAGGATTAGAGTTTTCTTTGAACAGTTCTAAACAATGGGCTCCGACCCAAGTTTCTCTTTCCTAGAATTTATGTTGGAAATATTTATTATTATAACTTCTAACTATTTAATAATAAATTAAATCTTTATGAGAGGAACTCTCTGTTTATGTTTATTTAATTGAAAAAATTATAAGTGCTTAGTTTTGAAGAATGTCACCAATACCCACAAAGGCTGGGCGCTGCCACTTTGGCTCTTATGTCACACTCCATAATAAACATTTAGGAGATTGAATTCATCTCTGATTAATTCCTATAAAGTTTGTGATTAAAATAAATTAACCAGTTCTTAAATAAACAACTTAATTCATTTTGTTAATTCTAATGCATAAAAAGATAAAGCTCTCAATAATGAATATATATAAAGAATAACACAAAAGATTATCCTTCACTCTGTAGGTGGGGTAGCAGGAAGGCCCATGAGGCCATTAACGACTGACACAAGACTTGGTCAGGACAAGCCATCATTACGCAGCCATAAAGGAGGAATTACTCCAGTACAGGAGCAGTTCTGATCTCCAGAACTACAAAATCTTGTCATGGCCAACCCTACACTGCAGCTATAGCTAAGGGGCCAACAAATTGAAAAATAACAACACAAAATTTAGAAAAAATATGTATAGAACCCTCTGGACTGTGGCCACACCATAGAGCATGCCCCATTCTATTTAAATAAAAATAATGTGATTATGGATAATTTTCTCACCTCCCCTCATCACAAAATGGACTCGAGATCCAGATCATGCAGAGCGTATATTGTTTTAAATAATGTTTTTATTGTATTTTATCTGTTCCTACAGATAATAATTATGGAGGGCGACTGGCATGTTTCTTCACATGAGGTGTGTGGAGGACAGCAGCTGGGGACGTATATCAGTTACCCAGAGGAAGCAGAAGAGTATGTGTGACACGCTTTTGCATAATTATTGCTAACTTGTTTGTTATCTCAGCGTCGGGCATATTTTCTTCTTGGCAGTGATGAATGAGGCACAGAGAGCACATTTAGAAAATATTCCGTTGGCTACATATGCTAGAGCGATGATAATAAAGGAAATCAGCAAGAGATGCTGAGCTATCTCGCGAGATCAGCTGATGTGGTAACAATGCAATGCTCTCCCTTGTTTATTTTGTTTAATTTTTTGCAACACAAACTCTTTGGAAGGATTCGATTTTAACCGCTTCTCTTGCATCCTACATATTATATGTACATTGTCAAGCTCTATAATTTATATCGAAACTTTTTTAGTACATGCATTAGTTTTAGTGATAAATATTCATAACTTATTTATTTCTGTGGGAATATGGAACTATTTTTCTGTGCAAACTAGACGTATGTTTAATTTTTTTTCTATATGAAGCACTCGGTGAGCCTTTCTGGGCAAAGATGTTTCTTCGAATCAACTGAAATGTTGGGGCCACGTGAGTAACACAAATGTGAACAAGTTTGAATGGTCCCCAAGCCAATATGCAACCGAAAACTCCTCACCCCTGAAGGATTCGACCTCAAACAGCCAGGGCTCCATGCGCCTTAGTGTATCCAGTACTTTCACCATTAAGCCACAATGACTGTTTAAAAGAATTTGAAGTCGTCGGCCCATTAACCCAATTCCCAACAGCACTCGGTGAACCTTTTTGGCCATAGATATTTAACTGAATTACCTCGCATGTTGGGGCCATGTACCACAAATGCGAGTAACATTACTTTTACCACTGTCATGTGGCCTAGTTGTGAAAGTCCTGGATGACATACGCTAAGGTGCATGGAGCCTCTTGCTGTCTGGGCTCGAATCCTTCAGGGGAAAGGAGTTTTCGGTTGCATATTGGCTCGGGGACTACTCAAGCTATTTTACATTTGTTTTACTCACGTGACCCCAACCTGCGAGGTGATTCAGTGAAATACTTGTACCCAAAAAGGGTTCACCGAGTACTGTTGGGAATTGGGATAAGGGTCTGATGACGTCCAATTCTTTCAAACAGTCGTTGTGGACTCATTTCCTCTGCCAATTTGGAAGAGGCTAGTCCTAACCGTGTGGCCTCCACTTTCGAACAAAGAGGTAAAGAGACAGAAAGAAAGACAAACAAACACTTGATATTATTGTATAGATATTTACATTTGTCATTATTGTTTATATATTATGTCAATTAGTATTTTTTCATCTTACCGAAGTCCTGTGGTGCCATTAAGACAACACTCCTGATGCCAAGTGACAGTGAGGTTTCAGTGACCAAGCTTAAGATTACAGACTTTGTCATCGTTGTTTCCTCATTCAGTAATTCAGTCGGCGTTATCCTCCTGTGTCCTACAACAGGTGTTGCTTGAGACACCCCCACCGCTGCAACCTTTTGAAGCAGTACTTGAGGAAAAAATAAAAAAAATTACTTAAACGAAATCTTTGTAACCAATTAAATTTCGACGTGTCCAATTTATGTTTTTTCTAGATTGCAGCTAATATCTACCTGATTCATAAGCCTATTTTCATATAGTTATAGGAAAATAATATATATTGCTACAGAATTCCTCAAAAAATATCTTGCCATTTACAGTATCGACTGAGATACTACATTATTTAGAACGTTTTATATGGTTATTTCATACATACATTTATATATATATATATGTATACAAATAAAGAGAAATGTTAATTGTAAAATTGTATAAGCTTGAAACAATAACATTTAATAATAATAATAATAGTTACAAGAAAAGTTTAACAAGTACTTTAAGCTTAGTACTTTATACCATTCACTAAGAAAACCTGGAAATTGCAGCCACAGATGATATGGAGAGGATCAGACTTCTTGCTTCTTTCACCGCATACATGACAGTCTTACTGAGTAAGACCTCTCACCCCTAATGTTTCTATTCCTTACCAATTCTCACTTAATACAGAAAAAAATCACGAAATTACTGCTAGCAAGGCTCTTGAATCATATTGTATAAGATGTGCCATGTTCCAACCATGTATTCATCAGCAATTGTGATTACTAATCTAATCCAGCTGGCTACTCACAGACTTTATCAAAATAAAACAGAAAAACATAAGCTGAGACCAAGGAATACGTGTGAAAACTTGGAGTTTTTTTTTAGTCTAAATGACCGAAATGAAATGTTAAGCTGGTTAAGAAAAATTTGAATTTGTGGCTGTTTAACAGAGTTAATGTCTATCAGGGAATTAAGATGTCAGTTTGTGAAATAATATTAAGGAAGTAGAGAAGGGATAAAACGACACATTTGTCTAGAGAACACGCTACTGATTGGATCGATCATACCTAGATGTTATAAAATAGAGTAAATGTGTCAATGTGAACAGGGATTGTTTCTAAAGAGTCACACTAACAACGTTCATAATGCTTTTTACACCTCCTCCGTCCGATCAAAACAGAGGGTCTGGGATTATTCCCCATAAAACAGAGGGAGTCTTTCTGGTTTTGCCTACATACATGTTGGGATTGTTTAAAACAGTTGGTCAAGTCGATAAGATCAAACAAACATCTATCTATATCAAAGAATGCATGTCCGATGTTGGAGGACAAATGATTGAAGTAACATTTACAAAAGGCACAGTACCTGTTTATCATCATATGGGGAGTGGCATAAGTGTTCAGCGTGGACCTCGTGTCCCTCTTGCAGTAGCGTAGGTTGCCATTGCACCAACCAACACTTGGGTTGCATAAAGAACATTTTGGATAATATGACCAACATAAATATTTACAAATACTATACTACAGAGAGGGAAAGTACCTTAATACTCTTATGTGCAATGTACAGACCTCAATGGCAAAGTGCTTCCCCTATAAAATTCTTGATGGACAAACTGGACTCCATACTAATGCAGCAGAGCTGTCAGCACATTATTATTGTCGGTGATCTCAAACAGTATCTCAAATCAAGGGAGTTTGGTGAACTCTTAGCAGTCTTCAACCTCGAAAACTTTGTGGGCTTTCCAACCCAAATATCAGGCTCGTTCCTCGATACTGTCGTAACTGACATTCCTGCAAGCATAGTTCTCTGCAGTCCTCTGGGATTTGTTGGTTCATGAGACCACCAGGCTGTCTTTACTTCACTGGCTATCCCGACAGATCGAATTGAAGAATCAATTCCAACTACCTAGCTTTGGGACAAGGGGAACTGGCCAGCTCTCTCACCAGTCCTATATTGGACCTCCATCATCTGTATATCCCTCACCGGTAATATGTGACCAAGCCTTCTGATCAGCCTTGGTTTGGATATCGTTGTCAGATGGCAGCTGAGGCCAAAAACAAGGCCTGAAGGAGATTTAAAAAGCATCCATCGGTTCATAAGAGAAACATTCATAGACAATCTTGTCGATAAAGAATGAAGTTCAAAAGTGGGCAATATCAAGGATGGGAATCCGAAATGCGAAGAAAACTTGCATCTGGAAGAGTTGGATCCAAGGTCGTCTGGTCCCTGGTGGAAGAACGGCAGAGATATTCCTCTAAAGACATAATCCCTCATCTAAATCAGGAAGATGGAACTGTTGCAACCAGCAATCAGGAGAAGGCTGTTCTACTGGCAAACCACCTTGCTGCCAAGATGCAAGTCCCTGATCCTGAACGTCAGCCTTCACATCCTGCTCCAAGCACTGTGTCTAGGATTACTGAAGTGGTTATAAAGCAGGCTGAAGTTCTCCATCTCCTTAAAATGCTAGACACAAGCAAAGCTGTGGGACCAGATAAGGTCAGTCCAAGACTATTACGCAGCTGTGCTGACCTGTTGGCTCCACCTCTCACATGCCTCTTCCAACTCTGCCAAGCTCAAGGAATGTGACCCTCCTTATGGAAGAAGGCAGACGATGTTCCACTACTCAAAAGGAAGAGCCGTTCAGTTGTTGGTAACTACAGACCAATGTCACTGCTCTCCATTGCTGGTAAAATCCTCAAATCATTAATCGCTCAGCAAATGATACAACTTTTTAATCATCATCGGCTAATATGTAATCGACAGTATGGTTATAGAAAAGGCCGATCTGCTGCTGATCTCTTGCTAAATCTCTAGCATCAATAAATCATAGTCACCAAAGCAGGTGCCTTTGATCGGGTTGGGCACTTTGGGTTAGTAGTGAAGCTTCAACCACAAGGCATCTCAGGCTCCATCTTAGAGTCAATAAACTACCTTCAAGAACGGACTTTAAGAGTAGTCTTCAATGGAGTAGAACCCAAAAGTCACCGAATTGGTGCCAGTTTTCCACTGGATAGTGGAAAACTCAGCTCTCTGCTGTGGAATGTCTATTTCAACAATAAACTTCATCTCATTCCTGAAGCTGAAGCCTTTGCAAATAACTGCACTTTAACCTTTACATACAGAAAGGAAGAAATGCCAACCACTTCAAGACTCATCAATCACAAACTTTCATCGATTTCTATCTGGGGTAGGAGATAGCAAGTCACATTTGCGGCTGGGAAGATACAATCGATGATAATAACTGGACTGCACATGGCAAATTAAACAGACTTACAAATGGGTGACAAAACCCTAGGTTTCATAGCTGAAATTGACATCTTGGGAATGAATACGGGTGGCAACTACCAGTAGTTGCCACCAGTAGCACCAGGCTCTCGTACTGGAATTGCCTTTCTCAAGAACATCACTCCATCAGAGATCATTCATTTCTAGGCCGACTCGCATTTGGAACTTGTTCAGTCAACAGGTGAATACATGGAAGATCAGTTCAACTGATCACATGAAGGCTCTGGCACACAGTTGGCTATGGGGTTATCCTGCGTCCTTATATGATTGTTACCTAATATTGTTATTGAATTAAATTTATTCATATTGATGCATACGATAAGCACTTGAAATAAATGGGTATCTAGGAGTAGGTTTCAACTGAGATGAGGTAGGATTACAGCTCCTGCTTGTCGTTTCTCCAGGTTCCTTATATGATAGTTCCTTTACGATAGTTCCCAATGTGATAGTTATTTTCAAAGTGCAGTTTCATGAAATATATGAGTCTAGCGGCAGGCTTCAGATGAGCTGAGGTAGGATAACAGCTCCTGCTTGCAGTTTCACTAGGTACGTCATATGACAGTCAGTTTGGAAGGAAGGAGACGGCTAATGGCGTGTGTGAGAATGGAGAGAAGACACTATGGATGGTCTCTGCGGTAAAAGGGCATTTGTAAGCATGGAGGAAAATAGACAGAGAAGGGGCGATTTTGGAAAAGGAGGGCAGAGAGAGGGGAAGGGCACATGTAGGCATAGTGTGGGGTGAAATGGGAAGGGCGTGTGTTGGCAATACGGGAATAGACAGAGAAAAGGCATGTGTAAAGAGGGTGGTAGAAGACTGGGGAAGGGATGTTGGAGCATGGAGGAAGGAGACAGGGAAAGGAAGTGTTTGGATAGTGACGGAAGAGTCAATGAAAAGGCGTGAGTGTGTGTTGCATAAAAGGAGTTTAAACTTGGTTATATTCAATATACATATTTATTTGTAAGAGGATGTTAAGTTATTAAAGCTCCTCTGATAGCAGGCAGAAACATTAAATGCAGTGTACATAGAATCTCCTATAAATTGTCACTCAGGCACAGGAGAAAAGAGGCTGGCGGCTCTAGGGTTTCTTGCTGTTTCGATTAACTTAGAACCTAGACCCTTAAAAACTAACTCTATGCCCAGATGCCAAGTTTCTCGTAAGCAGTTGTAAAAAAAATTGTGATGCCAATCCTTTTCTCTATACCTATGGGATTGGGCTGATTCTCTTTTGCTGACAGCACCACCTGGATTTTCAACGTTGAAGTCAATGTAGGTGTTAACTAAGGCTGTTACACATGTTTTCTTCCCCGCTAACTGCTTGTCGTTCTTCCAGGGGCTCACTGTGATCCCCATCTGAGCGACCAACAGGAACATTAAAGGAACAATGCATTAGGTGAAGATCCATCTGTGGTAAAGCTTCTCATAAGGATTTCGTTTTCACTTTGCCTTCCCCCTGTGTAGTGACTAACCAGGCCATGCTGGCCATACCAGACAGCCGCTGCCTCATCTCATATACACCTGTATTTGGTTTAGCCAGCAAAGCAGAGAACCACTGAAATTCGGAGGACCTGTGGTGTGAGAAGTATGCCAGTTGCTGACTTTGGGGTTACTAATTGGAAGTCACCCACATAGGGAGTTGCTACTGTTGTGAGGCATGCAATATCACATGGAGATGTGTAACATATGGGCACACTGCAGCTTCTCGATGTACAACTGGGTCATCCCAGCTGGATTGCTTGTCAGCTTGAGATGATGTTGGCTGGAATGCTGGGGCTGTGAAAGACCCACTTCGTAGCACAGCGTATAAAACTGAGATGTTGCACACCTGCCAGTTAGCCTAGATAATCCGATAAATTTTCCTTGACCTAGTTCACAGATTATACAGAGGACATAAACGCTGAAATCAGTTAAATGTTTTGCTGTGTAAACTCTGAAACCCCGAGTCTGAGGGAAAGAGAGGGATGTTTCCACTGTAGGTCACTGAGAGAAAGGTTAATGTTTTTTAAGCGATATCAGTAAGCGTTTGTATTGACTTAGCTTGTTGTTATAGGAAGATGATGACAAAGACTAACATGGGGTAGGTTATAAAGTAGAAACAGTAACCCAGAAAGTAGGCTAACACGGGGACGGACAGAAATCTGGTGATAAAGTAGTTATGGCACACAGTTGGCTATGGATAGGGAGCCGGTCGGCCGAGCGGACAGCACGCTGGACTTGTGGTCCTGGGTTCGACCCCAGGCGCCGGCGAGAAACAATGGGCAGAGTTTCTTTCACCCTATGCCCCTGTTACCTAGCAGTAAAATAGGTTCCTGGGTGTTAGTCAGCTGTCACGGGCTGCTTCCTGTGGGTGGAGGCCTGGTCGAAGGCCGGGCCGCGGGGACACTAAAAGCCCCGAAATCATCTCAAGATAAGATGGGCTCAACTTATTCCTTATATGATTGTTACCTAATGTTGTTAATGAATATAGTTTATTCCTACTGATGCATATAATAGGCTCATGAAATAAATGAGACTCTAGGAGTAGGTATCTACTGAGCAGAGGTAGGATTAGAGCACTTGCTTGCAGTTTCACCAGGATCCTTATATGATAGTTCCCTATGTGATAGTTAGTTTCAAAGTACATTCTCATGAAATAAATGAGTCTCTAGCAGCAGGCTTCAGATGAGCTGAGGTAGGATAACAGCTTTTGCTTGCAGTGACATCGTGAGCATTAATGTTTTTAATCCTCTTCAAGTCAGCGATCTTCTTATCAAAGACTTCAGCGATGGACTTTAACCCAAGAGGAGCTCCTAGGAGTGTACTGTCATCAGGTTAGCTGTATGGTTATCAAACAAAACACTATTTTTTTTTTTGGGGGGGGGGGGGAAGGGGATATATGGAGGGGTACCACGTCTGGCAGCGATACAAGGGCCCATAGCCTCAGAAAAATAAGAGTACTGAGAAAATCTAAGCATTTTTCTCAATATAATCGTTTGAATATTATCTTCTTCAACCAACTGTATGCATGTTTTAGATAATATATATGATGAGAAATCACTTTTTTTAGGGTCATTACACCTAATGAAATGGAAAACGTATTAGTGTCTATATATTGATAACAGACTTAGTGAGGAATAACCTATCTACTCGGTGCTAAGATAGGAAAAGATTGTTTAGGAAAATCAGCTAAAATATCAAAACAATTTCAGAGAAATAAATCACAGAAGAAATAGTTTCTATTTTAGAGCGGATGAGTGAAGTAATTTTCCAGAACCTATTCTAACAATGGACAATAATATGTTTGTTAATTTACTGAATCTACTCTTCTCCATTTGTCTATAATTTTCGAGCGAAAACCCATCTGAGAACTATTTTTGATGTACAAAAAGTAACAAACTAAGAAAACTTACGAGGACTACTGAATAGCAGCAACAGGTGATGGAGCAGCCACCAGCCATCCATCTCTGCTCTCCACCACCACCACTCTCTCCTGACATATTAAGGAGCAGAAAACTTCTTACAAATATATGCACATTAATAATAATAATAATAATAATAATAATAATAATAATAATAATAATAATAATAATAATAATAATAATAATAATAATAATAATAATAATAATATTTATAATAATAATAATAATAATAATAATAATAATAATAATAATAATAATAATAATAATAATAATATTAATGACAACAATAATAATAAAAATAATAATAATAATAATAACGAGGAAAAGAAGAAGTGAAGAAGAAGAAGAAGAAGAAGAAGAAGAAAACAGAAGAAAAACAGAAGAAAAGAAGAAAAAAGAAGAAGCATACAAAGAAGAAGTAGAAGTAGGAAAAGAAGAAGAAGCAGGAAACGAAGGAGAAGAAGAAGAAGAAAAAGAAACAGAAGAAGAAGAGGCAGGAAAAGAAGATGAAGGCGAAAAAGAAGAAGGAAAAACAGAAAAAGAAGAAGCAGGAAGAAAGAAGAAGGAGAAGAAAAGGAATAAAAAAAAGAAGGAGAAGAAAAGGAATAAGAAAAAGAAGGAGAAAAAAAGAGAATGGTAATTGCAAAACTAATAATTATATAATAATAGTAATAACCATATTAATATTAAATCCAAACCTTGTTAACATTTGGCTGGAGACACAACTGTAACCTATAAACATGCAGACTCTCAATACTGCGACAGATAACCAACACAGAAAAATTGCAGTTCTAATATTTAAACTTCAAAGTAATTAATAAGTGTAAAAAATATGAATAATATAAATAAATAAATAAATATGTTTATTCAGGTAAGGTACATACATACAAGTGATGTTACATTAATGGATGAATATATAGATAGAGCTAGTACATACAATGCCTAAAGCCACTATTACGCAACGCGTTTCGGGCAGAGACACTAATAGTAGTAATACATTTATTATGAGAAAATATCTTATATAAAAGATGAGAGATATATTAGGAAGAAGGTCGTTTGCTATATTGCACTCATGCCATCAACGATATGCTCTTCACTACAAAATCAAAATCCTCTTTTCAATCACTGAAATAAATACAGAAAATTTCGCTTTATCATGGAATCAAGGAATGTGTGTGTATGTTGGGGTAGACTTTGGAAGGTGTGTGATGGGGGAGACCTGGGAAGATGTGTGTTTGTTGTGGGAGACCTGGGAGGGTGTGTGTTGGGGGAGACCTGGGAGTGTGTTGCGTTGGGGGAGACCTGGGAGGGTGTGTGTTGGGGGAGACCTGGGAAGATGTGTGTTTGTTGTGGGAGACCTGGGAGGGTGTGTTGGGGGAGACCTGGGAGAGTGTTGCGTTGTGGGAGACCTGGGAAGATGTGTGTTGGGGGAGACCTGGGAGGGTGAGGGTTGGGGGAGACTTGGGAGGGTGTGTGTTGGGGGAGACCTGAGAGTGTGTTGCGTTAGGGAAGACCTGGGAGGGTGTGTGTTGGGGGAGACCTCAGTGTGTGTTGCGTTGGGGGAGATCTGGGAGGGTGTGTGTTGGGGGAAACCTGGGAGGGTGAGGGATGGGTGAGACCTGGGAGGGTGTGTGTTGGGGGAGACCTGGGAGGGTGTGTGTTGGGGGAGACCTGGCAGGCTGTGTGTTTGTTGTAGGAAACCTGGGAGGGTGTGCGTTGGGGGAGACTTGGAAGGGTGAGGGTTGGGGGAGACCTGGGAGAGCGTGTGTGTGAGAGACTTGGGAAGGTGTGTCTTGAGAAGATTTGGCTGTCTCTGTGTTGGGGGAACCCGGTATGGGTGTGTGTTGGGTAAGACATGGGAGGGTGTGTGTTGGGCGACCTGGGGTGTGTGCGTTCGGGGACACCTGGGAAGGTGTGTGTTTGGGGGAGACCTGGGAGGGTGTATGTTGGGAGAGGCCCGGGAGGGTTTGTGTTGGGGGAGACCCAGGAAGGTGTGTGTTGTGGTAGACCTGAAAGGATTTGTGTTCGGGAGACCTGGGAAGGTTTGTGTTGGGGGAGACCTGGGAGGGTGTGTGTTGGAGACACCAGTTAGGGTGTGTTTTGGGGGGAGACCTTGGAGGGTCAGTGTTGGAAATTTCCAACACTAATACAATACTATTGTATTATAATAAATCATTATTATTATATGCTAACTACAGTAGTCACTAACATAAACTAACCATTATATCTGCGTATTGATGCTAGAATTCTTACGAAATCAAGCACCAATATTGCGTCAGATTATATCTAGTTAAACACATTTATTGCCAATGTGTTAGAGAATTGAATGTGGTTCTCTAAAATCATCAGTATTCCGTGTGATAATTATTTACGGATAACATAACTCCCAAATAATTCTAAATCTTTTTAGATTTAGAGATTTTTTTTAGTTTCTTTTTCTTTTCTTTTTAGTTTCTTTTTAGAGTTTTTAGTTACCGTGTGCCTGTTTATATATTTATTTATGGTGGTGGTGATTATATATATAAAGCAGTGCATTTGTATCCCTTCCCCTTTAATTTAACTTGCGTTACGGAACACACCCCTTGAAAGCCACTACTAACTTGGGGCCGGATACCCCAAACTCTAATAACATCAGAGAAGAACCCGTTTGCGACCCATCAGGGCTGTAACAGTGGTGTTGCTGGTGGTGGTGATGGTGGTCGTGGTGTTGGTGATGGTGGTGTTGGTGGTAGTGGTGTTGGTGGTGGTGGTGTTGGTGGGGGTGGTGTAGGTGGAGTTGTTGGTGGTGGTGTTGGTGGTTGTTATTTTTCTGGTGGTGGTGTTGCTGGTGGTGGAAATGGTGTTGGTGGTGGTTGTGTTCGTGGTGGTGTTGCAGGGGATGGTGTTGATGGTGGTGGACTTCGTGGTGGTGGTGGAGGTGGAAATGGTGGTGATGCTGGTGGTGTTGTTGGTGGTGGTGATGCTGGTGGTGTTGTTGGTGGTGGAGGTGTTGGTGGAGGTGATGGTGGTGTTTGTGGGGGTGGTTTTGCTGGTGTTGGTAGTGGTGCTGGTGTTGATGGTGGGGGTGTTGGTGGTGGTTGTGGTGTTGGTGTTGGTGGATGTGGTGCTGGTGGTGGTGGTGTTGGTTGTGGTGGTGTTGGTGGTGGTAGTGGTGGTGTTGCTGGTAGTGGTGGTGTTGCTGGTGGTGGTTGTGGTGGAGTTGGTGCTGCTGGTGTTGCTGGTGGTGGTGGTGTTGCTGGTAGTGGTGTTGATGGAGGTGGTGTTGGTGGTGGTGGTGTTGATGGTGGTAGTGTTGATGGTGGTGGTGTTAGTGGTAGTGTTTCTGGTGGTAGTGTTGCTGGTGTTGTTGCTGGTGGTGTTGATGGTGGTGATGTTGGTGGTGGTGGTGATGGTGATGTTGGTGGCAGTGTTGGTGGTGGTGGTGTTGGTGGTGTTAGTGTTGGTGGTGGTGGTAGTGTTGGTGGTGGTGGTGATGTTGGTGGTAGTGGTGGTGGTGTTGGTGGTGGTGGTATTGGTGGTGGTGGTGGTGTTTCTTGAGGTGGTGTTGGTAGTGGTGGTGTTGCTGGAGATGGTGTTGGTAGTGGTGGTGTTGCTGGTGGTGGGGTGTTGCTGGTGTTGGTGTTGCTGGTGCAGGGTGTTGCTGGTGCAGAGTGTTGCTGGTGGTTGTGTTGGTGGTGGTGGTGACGGTGTTGGTGGTAGTAGTGGTGTTGGTGGTGATGGTGGTGGTGTTGCTGGTGTTGGTAGTTGTGGTGTTGCTGATGGTGGTGTTGCTGGTGGTGGTAATGGTGTTGGTGGTGGTGTTGCAGGGGGTGGTGTTGATAGTGGTCGACTTTGTGGTGGTGGTGGTGGTAACGGTGGTGATGCTGGTGGTCGTGTTGGTGGTGGAGGGGTTGGTGGTGGTGGTTTTGGTGTTTGCTGTGGCGGTCTTGCTGTTTGTGGTGTTGGTAGTGGTGCTGATGTTGGTGGTGCTGGTGTTGTTGGTGGTTGTGTTGGTAGTGGTGTTGGTGGATGTGGTGGTGGTGTTGCTGGTGGTGGTGGTGGTTTTGCTAGTGGTGGTGTAGGTGGATGTGGTGTTGGTGGTAGTGGTGTTTGTGGTGGTGGTGTTGGTGGTGGTAGTGGGATGGTGTAGCTGGTAGAGGTGTTGTTGGTGGTGGTAGTGTTGGTGGTTGTGGTGATGTTAGTGGTGGTGGTGGTGGGATGGTGTAGCTGGTGGTGGTGTTAGTTGTGGTGGTGTTGCTGGTGGTAGTGTTGTTGGGGTGGTGTTGCTGGTGGTGGTGTTGCTGGTGGAGTTGTTCCTGGGGGTGGTAATGGTGATGTTGGTGGTTGTGTTGGTGGTGATGGTGTTGGTGGTGGTGGTGGTGATGGCGGTGGTTGTGTTAGTGTTGGTGATGGAGGTGTTGCTGGCGTTGGTGTTGCTGGTGCAGGGTGTTGCTGGTGCAGGGTGTTGCTGGTGGTTGTGTTGGTGGTGGTGGTGACGGTGTTGGTGGTGATGGTGGTGGTGTTGCTGGTGTTGGTATTGGTGGTGTTGCTGATGGTGGTGTTGCTGGTGGTGGTAATGGTGTTGGTGGTGGTGTTGCAGGGGGTGGTGTTGATAGGGGTGGACTTTGTGGTGGTGGTGGTGGTAACGGTGGTGATGCTGGTGGTCGTGTGGGTGGTGGAGGGGTTGGTGGTGGTGGTTTTGGTGTTTAAGGTGGCGGTCTTGCGGTGGTGTTGGTAGTGGTGATGATGTTGGTGGTGCTGGTGTTGGAGGTGGTGATGGTTGTGGTGGTGGTGTTGCTTGTGGTTGTGTTGGTGGATGTGGTGTTGGTGGTGGTGGTGTTGGTGGTGGTGGGTGTGTTGGTGGTGGTGGGTGTGTTGGTGGTGGTGGTGATGTTGCTGGTGGTGGTGGTGTTGCTGGTGGTGGTGGTAGTTTTGCTGGTGGTGGTGGTGTTGCTGGTGGTGGTGTTGCTGGTGGTGGTAGTTGTGGCGGTGGTGTTGGTGGTGGTGGTGGCGGTGTTGGTGTTTGTGGTGGTGGTGTTGCTGGTGGTGGTTGTGGTTTTGCTAGTGGTGGTGTTGGTGGATGTGGTGTTGGTGGTGGTGGTGTTGGAGTTGGTGGGGGTGGTGGTGGTGGTGGTGGTGGTGGTGGTGGTGTTGGTGGTGGAGGTGGTGGTGTTGCTGAAGGTGGTGTTGCTGGTAGTGGTGTTGGTGGTGATGGTGGTCGTGGTGTTGGTGGTGGTGGTGTTGGTAGTGGTGGTGTTGCTGGTGGTGGTGTTGGTGGTGGTGGTGTTTGTTGGAAATTTATAACACTAACAAACTACTATTGTATTATAATACATCATCATCATTATATACTAACTACAGTAGTTACTAATTTCACTAACGGTAGTGTTAACATAAATTAACAATTATATCTGTGTATTAGTGCTAGAATTCTCATGAAATCGAGTAGCAAGATTGTGTCAGATAATGTCTAGGTAGACATTTTTATTACCAATGTGTTTGAGAATTGAATGTGGTTCTCTAAAATTATCAGTAATCCATGTAATAATTACCTACGGATAATATGACTCCCGATAATCTAAAACCGAGAGTTATTAACTGAAATTATTATCAAGTAGCAGTTTTATCGTACAAATGCTATGGAGAGAATAAAAATC